CAATTTCTTACGGTTTAAGAATTAAAGCAAGGTTATGGACAAGAGGTATGAGGGTTGTCGATTGTCTGGTTTTGACCCGGACTATCAGTTTTTTAGGAGTTTTGTCCGGCGTCCTGTTGACTAGTTAAACCGGATATCATATGTCCAATTTTTAAATACATCCAACTAATAAAATGCAATTTATATCATAAAGAGAAAAATTTATAAACAGAGTTTGGATTTCAGTGATGTGTTTTTATTCCAAGCGTCCATTAACGATCATGCACTGCGAGAAGCAGTGCGAGAAGCATGGATAGATATTTTCAAAAAGTGTAATTTTATTACAAACAACTTACTAAAAATAGTTCAGGTTATACTTTCAATACAAACAAGTAATACTTTCCCAGAAAGAGTTTTCAGTTTAATGCAGCAAGCATGAACAAAATCAAGAAATAGAATGGAAGTTGAACTGGTCAAAGTTGAATTATTTACTGTCATTAATTTTTACATGTCATATAATGAATTTGTAAAGTATGCCAAATCTATTAAAAGTAGTAAGAAATACAGAGAAATACAAATTTAATTAATAAAATGCCTTTTAGATTATAATATTAATGTTATATCACAAATTATATTTCATATATTTTATGTTTAATAAAGGTTAAAATTTTTCATTTTAATGTTATTAAACGTTTTAAATATTTTATCAAAACGTTTACAACGAATTTCACATGTATAAAATATTATAAATATCATGTATAAAAAATTTAATTTTGTTTTCAATAATATAATATATTTTATAAACAATAGTAATTTTTGTATTATTTTAACCAGTCTGTTTTAAAATAGTGTTTGGAAAATGATATTGTAATTAATTTCTTATTAAATTGTGTATTTCGTGTATCTAGTTTTATATGATGTTACTGTCCGGTTTGTCCGGTTATATTTTGTTATTACAAAACATTTTCCCGAAAACTAGATGGGAAAATGGTGGTACCAACAAAAACTTCTAGGCAATAATTTTAATATCTGCGGATTAGTGATACTGTTGAAATAACAAGTCTATGAATTTTGCGGAGTCATTTTGACATATGCGTGTATATGTCAAACAATAAATCCGCTTTAATTACAATTTTAATTTTACATTTAAAATTTTTAATATAAGGAACAAAAAATTTAAAAAGAATAATATTAAAAAGCTCAACACATTACGTACTTTTCAAGTAAATGACGTATGAGACAGCAAATCGGCCAAGTTTCAATGATAACAAAGTTTATTTTCACATGCAGTTTTACCAACATGAGAAAGAAAGCCTCACATGAAAATATGCACATATCAATCAATCAATTTGTGGCTTTTACGGAAAAGCGGCAAATTGATTAGTTAATGCTTCTTGAACTGATTTCTAACACTGTGAACACAAGACTTAATAAGATTCATTTTTCTTTTTTTATACGAAAAATTATATAAAAAAATAGTTTAGTTATTTAAAAAAAAATATTAATTTTCAAAACAGAAATATCGCTTCTGATCACCTAATTTTCAGTTGGTTCATATTCGCTCGCAACAACTGAGATTTTTTTGCGTGTATATACTAGATTTTGTATAAATTCTTAAAAAGTTTCTCGTAATATAGAGTCTAAGTAACGGTACCCTATTTTATTTGTTTCAGATACTTTCTTGATGTCACGATCTTGATGTGCATGACCATGCATGCACGAACTGCTTATCACATCTATCAATACTAGCCAGTGGCGAAGCGTAGTATCGGACAGGTAAAAAATTTGACCTTTGCGTGAGACGCACAATCTTATTGATCAGAAAGACTTGGCAGCGAAACATTACCGTGTCTTTTGTTTCAGTTCTTGTTAATCCTGTTTATACCTCTTTTTCGTCTCTTAAATGATCCGAAAAAGTTTCACGGTAAGACATTATATTCCTTTCGGAAAATTTCTTTAAATTTTTACTTAAATTATTGTATCTCTTTCGCAGGGAATACAAATTAGACATTTCGTACTCTGTTTCTTAAAATTCTTCAAGGAAAACAGTAAGAAATGAGGAAAGAAATCTGTGGATATGCTTGTTTAAAAAAGAACATCTCTTCTCAGTCTGCGGGAAATCGCGCAGACGTCTTAAATCATCCTGTGAAATCATACTATAAAGAGAGGTTAAATTCTGAGGAGATTCTGAAGCGCACAAACTGCTTTGCAACTATAATTCAGCGGTATATGAGAATGATTTTGCGAATTGCGAGAATTGTATCACTTACCATTATGTTGAAAAGCTCCGCCTGGTTTGGCGCGTGAGTCGAAAATTGCTAGGGCTTCGTAAATTAAAGCGTTGTCCGGTTCTCACACGACATACGACTGTGTGTTTGTCCGGTTGCGATATGCAAATTTGTCAGTTTCCTCTTTCTCTGTTTCTCGCTTTCTACCTCTGCGTTAATACGCCACGAAAATTATGAACCAACTGAAATAACGTGGCTATCACTCGACTACTTTAGCTCACTCCTCTCCTCTCCGTACGGTCGTATCTAAAATCTGCAAAAAGAAAAAGAGAGAAAACGGGGTTATACTCGTCAGCATTTGTTTTGCACTGAGTGCATTCGAGAACGCCAGGCTCCTTTAAACAATCGATCAGTCTCAATTATAGTTCGCGACAGCGGCCTGCTTGAGAAACGCGCGTGAAATGGTGACAAATTATTGTTGCATCAAATGTTAAACTCGGCCGATTTGTTTGCCGTTCGATTACCGAGATGGATTATTACTACTATTCAGCTGTCTCTCTTCGTATTGAATTGTCGTAGATTGGCTTAATTCCTCGTTTCTGCGACGAGGGCAGAGAATCGTCACGTGGCTTGCCGATGCATTCAGAATAGAGATGAAAATGACCCAATCTGTGACAATAACTTACTCGGTAAATTACGGTAAGTTTGTAAGTAATTTTAAAGAGCTGGTAAATTTAAAAAAAATTATAGAAATAAAAAATTTTTCATATAAAACTCATAAGAAGTATTTAGTCTTATTTAAGATGAATAAAACACTTTATTTAACTTATATTTCCCATAAAATATATCATATATATATCATATATTAATATATATATATATATATATATATCACATATCATATTAATATATCATATATAGTATATAGTGATTAGAAAACTAAGTATATAGGACTAAAGAATCTTAAAAAAAGTTTTATTAGGATTTTCAAGATAAAAGTGTAATAGATACAATTTTAATTACAATTTTAATTTTACATTTAAAATTTTTAATATAAGGAACAAAAAATTTAAAAAGAATAATATTAAAAAGCTCAACACATTACGTACTTTTCAAGTAAATGACGTATGAGACAACAAACCGGCTAAGTTTCAATGATAACAAAGTTTGTTTTCATATGAGTATGTTTTCATATAATAGTTTTACCAACATGAGAAAGAAAGCCTCACATGAAAATATGTACATATCAATCAATCAATTTGTGGCTTTTACGGAAAAGCGGCAAATTGATTAGTTACATGCTTCTTGAACTGATTTCTAACACTGTGGACACAAGACTTAATAAGATTCACTTTTTCTATACGAAAAATTATATAAAAAAATAGTTTAGTTATTAAAAAAAAAAACAGAAACTTTAATACTCTCAAAAGATTGTGAATAGTTTCTTTACTTTTATCTTAAAGACACTTCAGAGATTATCAGATGTACCGTAATTTTACAGTAAGCAAAACATTTCAAATCTGACAATAATTTTATATTTCTAATTCAGACTGTTGCAGACAGGGTCGCCGATTGTGCGCGAGGAGAGCTCCGCTGAGGAATCCGCTTCGTTCTCGCATTTGCGTTTCCCAACATTTTTGTCCGAACTTTCGGGCGCAATTGCATCAGGCCCATTCTTCGCGTTCGCGGCACAAGAGCGCGCTACGCGCGCGAACCAACTTGGAGTACCAAGTCCACAACGCCACATTAAATCCACTCGACGGTTCTCGCCGTGAATCGCGATTACGCTCTACACGCGAAACGGCGTACAGTTCGGTGTACGCGGCTTATGCACAATCGAGGGATATTCTTTTCTCCATCCCACGCTCGACCTCCTGAACTTTCTACGACGCGGAGCTCATAACTCCCGTGCTTCACGAAGTTACGTAAACGCGACGGGGGAGCACGAGTCCGCCGAAATACCGACTTAGTTTCCATTTCACGGGCTCCACACACGTCGAGACGTGGCAGAGACGCCTCGCTGAGTATAATCGTCACCATTTTACTCACCGTTATGACCAAATGAGAAATCCCTCTCTAAATCCGGTTAGCGGTAGAAGAGGAAACCGAGGGTGGACCGCGCGGATCCACAATATTTCGTAGCCTCTGGTCACAGAATGTCCCCCGGAATGCGTCGCACGATCCCTGGTCAAACCTGTAACTCTCTGTTTTACACAACGCGCGATAATGCGTCTCAACGTCGCAACCCAAACCCGTCGTTTGTTGTCCAAAGAATTTCGCTCGGAGATGTACAAACCCACACGCAGTCTCGGTACTCTCGGCAGTTCGCTCCCTACATCGGGATTGTACTAATTATACAACCGTTTAGAGAGTATCTACAAATGTTCTCGTATATTGATCATTTTGTTGTTGGTGTTTCCGATGAACCTCCTCTGCTTCACCATATGGCCACCTGCCAATCGAACCTGAAACATGCCGCAAAAACACCGCCGTCTGACTTGTGCGTCACACATAATTCCGCGATACTCGCCGGCAAGACTATTGACGCGAGACGCCGTCATGCGCTCGCTACACCAATTTATCACATTATAAATTAAGCTGTACTCCGTTTAGGATACATCGTTTATCATACCACGAATTAACTTAGCCGAGCCGAGCATCGTTCGAGCTCAGTCTAGCTGAGCTCTTCAGATATTCTTCCCAATCAATTTTGTCTCCTGCCCGAATCGCTCGAGGAACGGCGCAGCCAATGCTACATCACGCTTAATTTTAACCCGCGCTTCTATTTCGTGTCGCGTTATGCGTGAATTCTTCGTGACTTTAGCGAGTTAACCGCGCCTCGTACGTCCGACACTACGGGTTAATTCGTTAAGGTCGAAAAAGCTATTCGCCCCAATTTTTTCCAATCGTTCAATTTCTTGCCGAGTCGGCGTGACAGGCTCCGAGATTGCCAGCTGCATCGTTTACTTTAATTAATTGATATACCTTCTTATATGCGCTAGCTTTCGAACTGAAATTGGGTGGAGAACACACACACGTCGCTAAAATAAAAGTATAAATAATAAATCATTGACGACGACGAGGAGAGCAAAACGCCGCTCTGGTGCGTCTTCTCCCGATTTCCCTAGGTTATTTCCCTAATTATCTTTGATTCGTAATATCGCTGAGAATGACGTGATCTGTTTAACGGCTCGCGGCGAGTCACTGGATCCATGATTAATTTATGTAGTTTCTTACGGCGCTTAGAGCCCCGCGCGATCAATAAGGAACAAGCTGGAAGTGCCACGGTAGCGCAGGTACACGCAACGGCCGATGTAGCGAGCAGTCTGATGTAGTGACGGCAACGACATTCTCTCGAGCCGGCGGCTCTAGCTGGACTTAATTTGCCCCGCGAAATCGCCTTAACTCAATTGCGCTTCGCGTGATAATGAGGCCGCACTTCGTTCTCTCCGTCGCCCTCGTGTCTCGCTCTGAGCCGATTTTTCAGGAAAAAGAGGCGCGTGCTATCGTTAGGAAAACGAAAAATCGGAAAAGGTCGACGCGAGTGCCGTTTTGTTGGAGGCAACAAGTCGCGGAGGAGCAACGTAACGTAATCGCGCTGAATGAGGAAAAAGGAATCGCTGGAAAAGCGACGGTTAATCCGCTTCGCGGAAACGAATTCGCCGCGCGGGGCTCGTAAAGCGTCGCGAACGACGCCTCGAAATGGCGATTAACGGCCGAAGGATGATGTGCGATTAGGATAATGGCTATCTCGTGGAGAATGGGCGCGCGCTGTAATTAGATAATGAGCGCGTGCGCGTCCGTTAACGGAATTACGAATATTCGCAGAGCGAGAGAGCGGTACACTCACACTCATCGGGTACAGGCAGTGTGTTTGCGCCAGCAGCTCGAAGAATATCTTCAACGGCCACCTCAGCCGACAGTAGTGATATCCATTCACGGCTGCGAAGGCTGATCTGAAAAAGAACAGAAAAAACACCAGTCAATAAAGAAACAAATACGAAACTCGCAAGTGCTCTTCAGGATCGCCATTACACGGTACATAAAATCGGCACTAGTTCACGTATAGCTTTTACGAAGCGGTTCTACGTCTTACGACATTCTGAAGGCTTTATTAACATAAGTAAACTTTGTACACAGGTTGTCTGGCGATTAATGATACGCCTAATGTGCGCAGCTAGAACTCGTCGAACTAGATGCAAAATTTCTTCACTATTTCGCAAACAACCATAATTTTAAGTTATTCATTTGAGAAGATTGGTGACTGATTGTGCGCAGTACGGTAAATGAGCTGTGAGAAAGATCCCTCACTTATCAGAACAAAAGCGCGTTTGCTGTTAGGGAAACAGACTGAACAGTTATCGTTGCAAATTATTTCCCATCATTTGTCATTTTAACAAACATATATTACTTGAGATACAAATCATATTTGTTCTCGTCTATTTAGGTCGGGTTGAGTTAGATTAGTCACATCTTCATTACAGAAGTGTAGAGCAGCAAATTGAAAGTAATGAATCCCATTTGTTGCCAGGGTCGTTTGCTGTTCCATATTAACAAACCATTTATTGCTACTGGTAATGCTATTTTTATTATTGTGTGTGTGGTACTGGTATTTTTAAATTAGTAAAACTGTTTCTCTACCGTTGTATATGTTTGTATGTTAATTCAAACTAAATCCTTCTACTGTTTTGCAAATATCCATGAATTTTTAATTATTAATTAAAGAAGATTAGCGCATTATCGCATACAATTATCCACCAATTTTCTTTAATTGCTAACTCAAAAATTTACGTGGTTATTTACAAAATGACAGACTTTTATTGACCTAATTGCAAGCATACGAAGGCAAACGTCACAATTCACCACTCATCCATTATCGCGTGTCTCATCATCATTCGCCCCTATCTTCTTGAATTAATAACTTAAAATTGTCGTTTGGGAAATGCTAAAGGAACTTTGTGTTCGATTAGTTCTACCCGCACACAATGACTATGACATGGATTGACAGACACCATATATGCGCGACGTATTTCGACGTATTTCTCGCATAATCCGTAAATAGATCTTTCCCAAGTAGCCAAACAACAAGACAGGCAGAGAACTGATCACGATGCGTTCGCGATAGCGACAGAAGTCTCCCCCATCCTGATCGCCGTCGTGACCCACGCGAGGGATCCCCGTCGAGCGGACAACGGGGGTGCTTTGGGAAAATCTGCAAAGCCCCCGAAACTTCAGCACAGATAGCGACTTCACGAGCTCATAAAAAATTCCCTTCCGCGAACGCCGTTGGAACGAACGAGTTACTGAGCTGCCGCCCGCCATGAAGTCGTCGCTACCGGGTGTCTCGTTCTTATTTGCATCTCAATCGCGGCCTAACGTCTCCCTTGGCAACGGCCATGAATTTTATTCCGGTCTCATATTTCTGCTCCCCATTGTGGCGTGAGACGCTCGCCCGCGTGCCTGCTCTCTTTTGCTATCAATCATCCCTCGACTGCCGTTGCTCGCCACCTCGGGGCTGTATTCCGAACTTTTCCGCCACCCTCGTGAGACTAGGAGGAAGAGAAGGAGGACAACGATGACGACGACGACGACGACGACGACGACGACGACGAGTCTTCGACGACCCCGTCGTGTCTCTCGCGAATTTCGCTCGCTTTCACCTTCAACCCCTCCTTCGCCACCGCTCTGCGCGGTTCTCTTCATCGCAAACAAGAATTCCGCAAACGCCCCCGGGGTCGTGAAATACGTGAGGGATGTGCGTCTAGACGCCGAGGATCCTTTCGTGAGAAAATGCAGAGCGCGGCGATCCTGCCGCTTCTTTATCTCGGAATATCTCGGTTAAACATCGCGACCGAAATCTCGTCGGACGGACAACAAAACACGGCACGGCGCTCCCTGCATTTTCAATTTCTCTCGCTCTAGACTGTCGTTGTCGTCGTCCCGCACTCGTACAAACCGCGGCATTGTTGATCGTTCCTCTTACGTACGCTGGGAAATATTAAGTAAAGTCCCGCGAGAGAAATCTCCTCCCAGGATCTAACCGGACGGGGAACAGATATCATGGGGAACCTCGAGGGAGCTCCGTGACGCCGAGGAGCGCGTCGTTTGTTTTTTCTATTTCCACAAATTGCAATGTAAATTGTTATATTTCTCGACGCACTTTATCACGCGAGCATAGTCCACGTCCAGCGACTGGCGCGCACTTCAAGCAAACGCAAACAGTCCCTCACGATCGTCCCTCGAGAGCAGCTTCGATAAAACCGTACGCGATCAGCAGGTAGCTCCTACATCGCCCTTTAATCATCCTCCTTTCGACACAAAGGCCTCCAGCAACGGTCGGTACGATATTATCAGCTAAAATGAAGGAAGCCTCATAGTGGATACTTATAATGCTCGTCAACGGGTTAAGGAAATGGCGGGAGTGCGGGAGGATATTGCGAGGCCATCATATTCCTCCTTTCAATAGAAGTGTCTTATCAGTGTCCACGTATCCTTGCCGCATTTTTTCTTTCGCGTCGCGATGGTATCTCGCGATGAGACGCGAAAGAAGAGAAGGGCAGAGAGAGAGAAGATCACAGGTCGTATAAAGTCTTTAACAAGAAATGCTTCACACACATATTCTTATTATTAAAAACGCGACATTCGATTGCGTCTGCTTGCATGAAATTGAAGATATATCAAGATATATATCAATTGATGTGATATCAAGGGAAAGAAGGAGAGCTTACTTGGACATTTTTGAACTCACGTTTCGATGTACACTCACGTTTGTTAAACGTTCTCACATTTTTTATCAAATAGAGTTGTAACGCTTCAGGCTGTTAGAATTGAGAGACACTGATAACGTGTATATGTTCATGAATAATGTTTTATATATTTCATAAGTTTCTTACTTTGCAATAATATATACAACTTGAAAGACTGATGAGGAAACGTATTTCGCTAATTTTTATGTGTTCAGGACTGTAATAATTCACTGTCCATTTTTATGTAAACTAAACAGATAATTTATTCAGAAAAATAAGATAACTAACATGAGACTTTTTTATTTCTTGAACTGCCTTGTGCGTTCTTTATTGCAAAAATTATAATAGAATAGCTATAGGGTAAAGATTTACTACTTTTCAGTTTTATGTAAAATTGGAAGAAGTATCCAATTTAAATACTCATGTTATTTTATACAGCATACTTTATTCTTTTTGAACGTAGATATATATAGATCATAGATTATATGATAACATAAAAAAACATTCCTTATCTTATTCATAGATTTGAATATTTAGAGGAATAAAAGTAATGTGCAATTTCAACATACAAAATTGCACAATTTTAACGTCAATTGGTTTACCTTAATTGAAACTAGGATTTCAAGTTCTCATCAATGAAAATCTATCGAAATCATTAAAATCGGTTGAATGACCATGCTGATAGATTACTTACGAATAACCTTAAATACATTTTTAGTTAGCAGTTAATTAATCGCAATTAACCGCACTTAACTTTTAATAAATAAATAGTTAACTCGATTATCATACATTTGTTCCTTTGTGTCATCAAATTTAATTGCGTCTGCATCCTTCCGATCAATAAGTCACTTGTTTTCGAAGCTACTCCAATACATAATAGGTAAGTAACATATCGTTCCTAATTCTTTTTACGAGTTTCATCTATACGTCGTTTTAGCGTTTACGTAAATTCTCGAGTAGTTACAAGTAGTAGAGAATTGATTTCAAGGTTGCCGGGTAAGAAGGGGAACCGGCTGATGAAATTGGTGAATATTCTACAGCGCCAGCGTAGTAGCAGCAATAACAGGCTGCTATTACATAGCAACCAAGCGTTATTATTCGACGTATCGACCATCGCCGTAGAAATCTGAGAGCGTAACGCTCTCCTAAGTGAGACCCCGATACGGTGCGGACCATCAGTCCGCAGAATATCGTGACTCTGAAGCTTCACTCACGCGTACCGGAAGCCTTCCTTCCTCCGTGCCTGCCTTCTGTCCGACTGCTCGAACGATAGCTCGTTCCTCGAGAGATCTTTCACGAAGAGCGAACTTCTCCAAGTCGGCGAAGCGCGAGTCGCGCGAGCGCGCAGGTCCGACTGAGTGGTTCGACTGGCGATTCTGCTCGCCTGTTTTCTGGTTGCCACTTGGGTATATATCGCGAATTATACGGGCTTGCCCTTCCCGTATATTCCCGCAGTGAGCCTACAGTGCACGCGCTCGTCGGTGGCTTCTGACGGATCGATAGTCCTGAAATTGCTCGCGCGCTAATTGCGAACCCATAGTCCGCCGGCCGAAAGTTACGCGTATATTCGCGCGACTGACTCTACGACGAGTGTAACGCGCGGGCCTCTGAATGAATTATCGACGATAACATCTATTACCTGCAAAACAGTCGTTTGCGGCGTCTTTATGATCGTCGCGAACGGAATTACCCCGTCGCCCGAATGACTCGACGGTAATTACCACGCGGAGAAAGCGTGAGGCACCATCATGTGAAATTCCCGTTGCCTCTATCGGAGCTCGCTTATCGAGGTAGTAACCATGATAAGGCCTACTGGGGTCGAGCCGCGTGGGCTCGTAAAATCGATATCGTTCTGAGAAAGCCGTGGCTGCGTCATATAATCGATTCGTTCGTGAGAGCAGCAGTGCTGTCAAAAGCATCCAGGGATACACGTCGAGCGCGCGGGGATTACGATGGATTGAATAAGATTCGTCTCTCTCTCTCTCTCTCTCTCTCTCTCTCTCTCTCTCTCTCTCTCTCTC